AGGTTGTTGGCAATGCGTCGTGCGCAACCACTTATATAGTGGCGGCGCCCCCACCCACACAGTGGTAGGAAGTAGCCCAGTCGGTTCCGGCGGCGAACTGCTAAATGGCAGACGCGGGGATCGAGCCCACGTACCTCCAACCGCTGGGCCGCCTCCTTTTGAGCGTGGTGGTAGAACAGGAAGGAGGACCCAGGTCGGAACGTGGCAGGACTTCGACCGCGCCATCCAGCGATCCGAAAAATCCCTTGGCCGAAAATCAACCCTGCGCGCCTCGATCGACAACTTTAAAATTCTTCGCTGAGTGTGGCCACACGACAAAGGTTTGAACCACGGTCCGTGGGATAACAGAGAACGGAAAAGCGCGTTAAAGGAGGAAGGAACGAGAAAAGCAGAAACAAAAATGACAAAAGAAATAAAAACGAAATAACAAACAAATAGCAAAAGACGGAGCGTCAAATGACGCCTGGAAAAGAACAAGGGGATCTTACCCCTGTGAGCAACAGCTGGCCCCTTCAAAACGAGACTCTTCCTTTGATTTCTGTCTTTTTGTTGTTGTTTTTCTTCCTTTAACGACCGACTACCAGTGGCAAAAGGGGGAGGGCATCCCTGTTGAGGCGCGCTAATATATCTTTGCGTGTTCTAGCAAAAGATTCATTCTCAATTTGCACATTTGGTGGGCCAGTGGGGTGCGCCTGCAGGTAGGGTGGCTGCCCCACGCCCATGCTGCGTACGGATTCGAACCGTGGCACATGGGTTAGCACAGGGGGAGGAGGCCGTGGCTGCGGCTGGGGCAGAGGTGGCTATGATGGCCTCCCTTTGGCCTCAGCTGGGCGATTATTGCCACCCTGCAGACTGAACACCCCCGCGGTGGATCTTTCTGATCCTGGGGGTGGGGTTGAGTGTTGGGGAAAAGACAGCAGCACATGGGGAATGGGCTGAGGGAATAATGACATGATTCCCACCATTGAGATCAGTGGATCTCGTGGTTGGGAATCCATCAAAAAAAAGGAAGGCTTGGACTGAATAAAACACTAAGTCCAACCTAGTCTCGACGTACCTGCACTAGGAAAAATAGCCAGGTACGTCAAACTTTAAGAATTCATAACTCCTAGAATAATGGTTAGAAAATTACAAGAAAAAGTATTTCAGAAATGATACAACGTCAGCCATCTCCTGAGAATTACGAGATGCCTGATTGAACTAACCCTGAATAGATTAAAACGAGAGAAAGGGGGAATAGTCAAAGTCGGTCGCACTAAGTGTGCGGCTGCGGTGTGACGACGTCACACCGTCGATCTCGCAAAAATCGAGTGTCCAGGACCATCTCGAATTATTGCCTAAGGGCTAGAGTGTCGAGCACGCACTCCACCCCGACTATAAAAGTAGGTAGTGGCCCAGCAGTTGCCACACAAGGAGCACGTGTTGTTGGAGTGGTCGCACACTCTAAGGCATTTATGAGTTGCGGGAGTGATGTGGGAGTGTTGTCGGGAGTCTACTAGAGGAGCTGCTGGAGCAAGGAGGAGGAGGTTGAGCTACCATAGCCACAAGGTGGGAGCACCTTGTTGCCATTTTGGGTTGGTACCGGACCTACTGCACGTGAGCTAGGGTCCACTCCATTGGAGCGGGACCTCGTCTCCAAGCTCGAAGGGGCGGCATTTTGGGCTTAGCTTCGGCTAGGGACCAGATTTTATTATTTTTACACTTGGATGTGGCCAGCGTAAGTGTGCGTGCTACCGAAGCGATCAAGCGGAAAGGCTACGTCTGCATGAGGAGGAGCATTGTCGGCCTTGGCGTACGTGGGCGTCGAGATAATTTTGCGGGAGTACCGTGGGACTGTCGTTGGGCCTGGTTTTGATGCCAAAGCGGTGCCTCTTTATTTTGGAGCGAGGATCTCGGTTTGCGGTGCGACAAGGTGACGGTACCGCACACCCACTTGTTGGTGGCTCGCCGCTGTAGCATCATTTGTATTTTTTGTGTGGCATTCCAAGTGTGCCGGCGTGGTCCCAAGGAGGTGCCGAGTGTGGCACATGCTCAAGACGGACACCGGTGCAAACTTGTGGCGGTGCGGCACAAGAGAATTTTGCGGTGAAGGCGATGCAAGTTTTGACGTCTTGGCATGGCGGAACCCTTGGTACCGGTCCACGGCACCATTGGGACCATTTGGGACTGCGCTGCATCGACGGTTCCATTGTTGGACCGTCAACACCAAATTGAAGCCGCTCGATGCCGAGGGATTTATTTTGGAGTGCGTCGACGACCGTTATTGCTTTGGGTTCGGCGGGACCTGCTTGTGGAGATTCATGGCGCTTGTGATTTATATTCGGGACATTTTTGGGAGCTCGATTGGCGTTCAAGATTCAACTTGGCTTTCTTGGGTGAGTCATTCAGCATCGACGACACTTCACTCAAGGTCAGTTAATGACTCAGACCCCTCACTCCCCACGTGAACCCACACTTTGCTTACCCCATTTTTCTTTCCTTGAATGTTCAGTTGAAAGGGAAAGGCTTGTTTGCGTGTGCTCAAACGTGAAAAAGGATGTGTTGTCTGATCCCGTGTGTTCTCGTCTACCCTCGAAAACTGTCTTGGCTTTGTACTTGTTGCAGGCATGTGAGCGAAAGTTTTGTATGTCTAACGCTTGCGGGTGTGGCGCTCCATCTATGAAAAATTTAAACGCTCCTTTGTTTTGGTTTGTAAGATCCTTGGTCGGTTGAGGCTCACGAGGGAGAAATATTGTCATCAATTTGTCTTTCTTTATTCGGTTAGGCGGTTTTTGTATTAGGAATCCAACGATATGGGCCGTTTGTTATATTACTATAAGGCGACCCTCATCTATTTAACCACGACAAAAGTTGATAGCCCTTTTTATTTTCACATCCCTTTCTTGGACTATCTAGTGCATAGAAAACAACTTCGACAAGCATGCATTGAGCTGTATCGTTTGGCTCGAGCGGCCACCACGGGATGATAGGGGGGGGGGTTCTCAGGATCAAATTTCTAGTTTCTGAACGCATCGCGGAACCAAGCAACGATAAGATTGCCCCACTAATAGCCCTGCGCACGCTCGACGTCGTCCTATTTATAGCCCAGCCTTTCGCACATTTCATTTCATTCATAGGTTCTTACGCCGTCGGTTCTTTTAAGACGATAGCAAGAGTCAGTCCCTCGTGCCCTCCGCCGCTCATTGTGCCAAACCTCGGCTAAAGGAGCGAGTCGACCAATCGGAAGGATGAAGGCGCGGGTAGTAGACAACTCAGTTGCCGTGAGCAGTGCTGCCTCGAATAGTTTGTGACGGAGGAGCGTGGCTGTTGCCACCATCATGTTGTTTCCATCCAAAACGGAGGCGAGGGCATCTGCTGTTGCTGCCGCGAGAGGATTCAAACAAGGATGGGCGAGAGTTGGTCGCATGGTCTTCCATCGGGCAAACGTTTACCCGACCGAGGTCGAACTCAGGGAGGACCAAGGAACCCTCGAGGACCCGCCGCGAGTTTATGCGTTCGTGACTACGGTCATGAAGCTAGTGCTGAGCATTGGCTTCTGCCCTCTCAGAAAGATGCACTGGAGGGACATAGGGGTCATCTACGACGTCGCGGACGAGACGATATATCACAAGTTCGAGGACGAGATCATGTGGTTGACCCTGCGCATTATGCGGAACCGCCACGCTCGGTAGAGACCATTCGTGTACATTCAACATCATGACCACGTAGGTGCATTTGATGTCGGTATCCGTGCCTCAGACAGATGCGATGATGAGCTACTCCAGCGACAGGAGGAGAGTTTGCTAAAACTCTTTCGCATTTAATGACAACTATTTGGCGGTGTGACGGATGGCGGAGCTCCACATCACGAGCAATCTACGACTACGATGGCGAGGACGAGTGCGGAAGTTGGCAATCAACGAAGCGCTCATCATGCGGCGTGCTCGGCTGGATAGACGCGCCCAGGTGACTCTCGCGCTTTACGACCACTAGTCGTCACCCTTCTCTGTAAGTCCCTCTTGATTGGACCGCTAGGAAATTGGTAGCTAGCTAAGCCCCTTGGACCGGATCATCAAGCTTCGACCTTGAGGGCGTGAAAACATGATAAATCTCAACCCCCTTAGTGGCGCAGACCAAGAAAACATGGATAGCCCGCCCCTATATCAATTCCTGCGATGATCTTCGCTGGTGTCGTGATGAGGGACGACGGCGACATAAAGGATTTACCATTTCTTTTGTGTATACTGAGCTGGCATGCATTCGCAATTTTCTACATTAGGAAGGACGGAAGTAGTATGCATGGAAGGAAGTCATGGAAAATGATAGAGATAAACATGGACACGTCGTCATGGTGTGATGTTGCTTTGAAATTCGATTAAGCAAGCTGTGAGTGTCGATGGTGACTTTCTTATCGACCTTGTGTGCATCAATTGTGGGACGTTTTTGAAAACTTTCTCCTCAGTTTTGTGTAATATTTCCTGTTGTCAAATTTTGTAATCCTTGCGAAGGACTATCGTTCGTTCACTAAGACGAGTCACCACTGACGTATTGCATCTGTGAGCTTTGTTCGTGACATTTCTCAGTATCTTGGTTGCAAAATTTATGTGCTTGTTTCAGTACCTTCCTTTCCCCCCCAAAAAGGGGTCCCTTCATAAAAGGATTAAAAGCAGCTAGAGTTATGATTGATCAGGCGAAGTCTAACCGACCGACGCGGTCCGCAAAAAATCAGCCACCTATAGAACGAGCGGTAGGGATACGCCTCTGAGGATGGTGACATCTCCTCAGGGAAGACGAGTTGTGCTTCGTGGGACCCTGGAACACGAGAAGTACTACTGGCGCACCCGGCTAGAGCGGCAAAACCCCGTCGTTCGCCTTGATGAATTTCGGGGAAAACGTTCCGGCTCTAAAAGAAAAATATCAAACTCCTGCGTGATGCGGCCAGAAGGTCCCCCTTTAGGCAACGAGAGGGGACCGTTGCGTTTGACAACGCCTTCTTCCACCTCCACCTACTTCACTGATCCACCATAGCCAAGTACCTTCGCACCTTCTTTCATCTCCATCTCCATCATAGCCAAGTACTTTCGCACCTTCATCCAACTCCACCTCCTTCACCCATCCACCGTAGCCAAGTACCTTCACACCTTCTTCCACCTCCACCTTCTTGATCTATCCATAATAACCAAATACCTTCACACCTTTTTCTACCTCAACCTCATTCGCCCATTCACCATAGCCAAGTACCTTCATACCTTCTTCCACCTCCACCTCCTTCACCCATCCACCACAGCCAAGTACCTCCACAACTTCTTCCATGTCCACCTTTTTCGCCCATCCACCTCCTTCGCCTATCCACCATAGCCGAATACCTTCACACCTTCTTCCACCTCCACCTATCCACCATAGCCAAGTACCTTCATACCTTCTTTCACCTCCAACTCCAACCATCCGCCTTAATCAAGTATCTTCACACCTTCTTCCACCTTCACCTCCTTCGCCCATTCACCATAACTAAGTACCTTTGCACCTTTTTCCACCTCTACCTCCTTCACCCATCCACCATCGCCAAGTACCTTCATACCTTCTTCCACTTCCACCTTTTTCCCCTATCTACCATAGCCAAGTACCTTCACACCTTTCTCCACCTCCACCTCCTTCACCCATCCATCATAGTCAAGAATGTTCACACCTTCTTCCACCTCCATCTCCTTCACCCGTCCGCCATAGTCAAGTACCTTCACACCTTCTTCCACCTCCATCTGCTTCACTCATCCGCCACAGCCAAGTACCTTCACACCTTCTTGCACCTTCACCTTCATCACCCATCCGCCATAGTAAAGCACGTTCACACCTTGTTCCACCTCCACCTCCTTCATTCATCCACCATAGCCAAGTATCTTCGCACCTTCTTCAATTTTCACCTCCTTCACCCAGCCACCATAGCCAAGTACCTTAACACCTTCTTCCACCTCCACCTCCTTCACCTATCCACCATAGCCAAGTACCTTCACCTTCTTCCACCTCCACCTCCTTCACCCATCCGCCAGAGCTCAGTACCTTCACACCTTCTTTCACCTCCACCTCCTTCAACCATTCCCTATAGCCAAGTACCTCCACAACTTATTCTACCTCCACCTCCTTCACACATCCACGATAGCCAAATACCTTCACACCTTCTTCCACGTTCACCTCCTTCACCCATCCACCATAGCCACGTATCTTGACACCTTCCACCTCCACCTCCTTCACCCCGCCATAGTCAAGCACCTTCACACCTTCTTCCACCTCCACCTCCTTCACTCATCCACCATAGCAAAGTACCTTCACACCTTCATCCACCTCCACCTCCTTCACCCATATGCCATAGTCAAGTACCTTGACACCCTCTTCCACCTCCCCCTCCTTTACCTATCCGCCATAGTAAAGTACCTCCGCACCTTCTTCCACCTCTACGTCCTTCACCCATCCGCCATAGTCAACTATCTTCACACCTTCTTCCACCTCCATATCCTTCACCCATCCACCATAACCAAATAACTTCGCACCTTCTTCCATTCCACCTCCTTCACACATCCATCATAATCAAGTACCTTCACACCTTCTTCCACCTCCACCTCCTTCACCCATCCACCATAGCTAAGTACCTTCACACCTTCTTCCACCTCCGCCTCCTTCACCCATTCGTCATAGCTCGGTACCTTCACACCTTCTTTCGCCTCCATCCCCTTCAGCCATCACCCATAGCCAAGTACCTTCGAAACTTCTTCCACCACCAGCTCCTTCACCCATCCACCATAGTCAAGTACCATCACACCTTTTTCCACTTTCACCTCCTTCACCCATCCACTATAGCCAAGTATCTTCACACCTTCTAACTCCACCTACTTCACCCGTCCCCCATAGCGAAGCACCTTCATACATTCTTCCACCTCCACCTCCTTCACTCATCCATTATAGCCAAGTACCTTCACACCTTCTTCCACCTTCATCTCCTTCACCCATCCGCCACAGCCAAGTTCCTTCACACCTTCTTTCACCTCCACCTCCACCCGTCCCCTATAGCCAAGTACCTTCACACCTTCTTCGGCCTCCACCTCGTTCACCCATCACCCATAATCAAGTATCTTCACGTCTTTTTCCACCTCCACCCCCTTCACCCATCCATAATAACCAAGTACCTTCACTCCTTCTTTCATCTCCACGTCCTTCACCTATCCCCCATAACTAGTCACCTTCACGCCTTCTTCCACCTCCACCTCGTCCACCAATCCACCAGAGCCAAGTACGTTCGCACATTGTTCGACCTCCAACTCCGACACCCATCCACCATAGCCAAGTACCTTCACACCTTCCTCCACTTCCACCTCCTTCACCCATCCATCGTAGCCAAGTACCTTCACACCGTTTTCCACCTCCACCTCCTTCGCCCATCCACCATAGCCAAGTACTTTCACAGCTTCTTGCACCTCCACCTACTGCATCTATACACCATAGCCAGTTACCTTCTCACCTTCTTCCAGCTCCGTCTCCATCACCCAAATGTCATAGTCAAGTAATTCGCAAATTATATGACCTCCACCTCCTTCGCCCATCCACTATAGCCAAGTACCGTCACACCACCTTCCACGTACACCTCCTTCACCCATCGAACATAGTCAAGTACCTTCGCACGTTCTTCCACCTCCAGCTCCTTCACCCATCCACCATAGCCAAGTTCTTTCGCACCTTCGTCCAACTCCACCTCCTTCAATCATCCATCGTAACCAAGTACCTTTACACCTTCTTCCACCTGCACCTTCTCCACCAATCCACCGTAGCCAAGTACCTTCACAACTTTTTCCAGCTTTACCTCCTTCACCCATCCACCATAGTTAAGTACCTTCAAGCCATCTTCCATCTCCACTTCCTTCACCCATTCACCATAGTCAAGTACCTTTACACCATCCTCCACCTCTACTTCCTTCGCCCATCCACCATAGTCAAATACCTTTACACCTTCTTCCACCTCCACCTCGTGCATCCATACGCCATGGCCAAATACCTCACACCTTCTTCCACCTCCAACTCCTTCACCTATCCGCCATCGTCAAGAACCTTCACACCTTCTTCCACCTTTACCTCCTTCTCTTATGCACCATAGTCTAGTACCTTCACACCTTGTTCTACCTCCAACTCCTTCACCCATCCGATATAGCCAAGTACCTTCACACCTTCTTCCGCCCCCACCTTGTTCACCCATTCCCCATAGGAAAGTATCTTCACACCGTCTTCCACCTCCGTCTTCTTCATCCACCCACCATAGGAAAATACATTCACTCCTTCTTTCATCTCCACCTTTTTTACCCATCCACCATAACCAAGCACCTTCACGCCTACTTCCACCTCCACTTCCTTCACACATCAACCATAGCCAAACACTGTTGCACCTTCCTCTACCTCCGCCTCCTTAACCCATCCATTGTAGCCAAGTACCTTCACACCTTCTTCCACCTCCACCTCCTTCCTCCATCCACCATAGCCAAATACCTTCACACCTTCTTCCACCTCCACCTCCTTCGCCCATCCAGCATAGCCAAGTACCTTCACACATTTTTCCACCTTCACCTCCTTCACTCATCCACCATAGTTAAGTACCCGCACACCTTCTTCCACTTCCATCTCCTTCGCCCTTTCACTATTACCAAGTACCTTCACACCTTCTTCCACCTCCACCTCCTTCCCCCATCCACCATAGTCAAATACCTTCAGACCTTCTTCCACCTCCACGTCCTTCAACCATCCGCCATAGTCAAGTACCTTCACACCTTCTTTCACCTCCACCTCCTTCGTCCACTATAGTTGAGTACCTTCGCATTTTCTTCCACCTCTACCACCTTCATCCATCCACCATAGCCAAGTACCTTCACACCTTCTTCCACTTCCACCTCCTTACCCAATCCACCATAGTCAAGTATCTTCATACCTTTCCCCGCCTCCACCTCCTTCAATCTTCCACCATAGCCAAGTACCTTCATACCTTCCTCCACCTCCACCTCTTTCACCCATCCGCCATAGTCAAGTACCTTCACGCCTTCTTCTACCTCCACCTCCTTCGCCCATCCACCATAGCTAATTACCGCCGCACCTTCTTCCACCTCCACCTCCTTCACATACCCACCATGGCCAAGTACCTTCACACCTTCTTCCACCTCCACCTCCTTCACCCATCCATCATAGCCAAGTACCATCACACCTTCTTCCACTTCCATCTCCTTCGTTTATCCACTATAGTTAAGTTCCTTTACACCTTCCACCTCCACCTCCTTCCCCCCCACACCATAGCCAAGTACCTTTTAGACCATCTATTACCTCCACCTCCTTCACCATCCGCCATAACTAAGTACCTTTGCACATTTTTCCACGTCCACCTCGTTCGCTCATCCACTATGGTCGAGTATCTTCACACCTTCTTCCACTTCCACCTCCTTGGCTCATCCACCATAGTCAAGTACCGTCACACCTTTTTCCACTTCCACCTCCTTCACCCTTTCACCATAGCCAAGTAACTTTACACCTTTTTCCACCTCCACCTCTTTCACCCATCCGCCATAGTCAAGTACCTTCACACCTTCTTCCACCTCCACCTCCTTCGCCCATCCATCATAGCTAAGTACTTTTGCACCTTCTTCCATCTCCACTTCCTTCACCTATCCACCATAGCGAAGTACCTTCACACCTTCTTCCACCTCCACGTCCTTCACCCGTCCCCCATAGCCAAGTACCTTCACACCTTCTTCCACCTCCACCTCCTTCACCCATCCTCCATAGCCAAGTACCTTCGCACCTATTTCCACCTCCACCTCCTTTACTCATTCGCCATAGCCAAGTACCTTCACATCTTCACCTCCACCTCCTTCACCCGTCCCCAATAGCGAAGTACATTCACACCTTTTCCCACCTCCACCTCCTTCTCCTATCCACCATAGCCAAGTACCTTCACACCTTCTCCCACCTCCACCTCTTTCACCGATCCACCATAGCCAATTACCTTCACACCTTCCACCTTCACCTCCTTCACCCATCCACCATAGCCAATTACCTTCACACCTTCTTTCACCTTCACCTCCTTTACCCATCCACCATAGCCAAGTACCTTCACAGCTTCTTCCACCTCAACCTCCTTCACCTATCAACCATAACCAAGTACCTTCACACCTTCTTCCACCTCTACCTTCTTCACCTATCCACCATAGCCAAGTATCTTTGCACTTTCTTCCACCACCGCCTTCAGCCATCCACCATAGTCGAGTACCTTCACAACTTTCTTCCAAATCCACCTGCTTCACCCCTTCGCCATAGCCAAGTACCTTTACACCTTCTTCCACCTCCCCTTCCTTCGCCCATCCACCATAGTCAAGCACCTTTATATCTTGGTCCACCTCCTCCGTTACCGATCAATGTCCCGGCCCAAGGTATATAGGGCAGCGAGTCATCGAAGGAGTCATAGGTAGGATGGTGGGACGGGTAGAGGGTAAGTTGGATTAGGCTTAGGAGGTCTCTCTCTTTCTCTCTCTCTCTCTCTCTCTCTCTCTCTCTCTCTCTCTCTCTCTCTCTCTCTCTCTCTCTCTCTCTCTCTCTCTCTTTCTCTCCCTCTCTCCTTTTCTCCTCCCCTCTCGTTCTCTCTTTCTGTTTCTCTCGCCTCCTCTTTCTTAGCCTACAAAGGGCTATCTCTTCCTTTTCTTCCAAATCCGAAGGTCAATGCTCACTCGCACTCCCTTTTTTCCTTGGAATGCAACTAACTCCTCCCTCACTCACTTGTTACATTGTCAAGGTAAAAAAAAAAAAAAAAAACCTTGAATCTCACTTGGTGGAAGAAGAGGGCAAGGGGGGTGGTTGTCGGCCCCTTGTGCCACCAAGAAGATAAGAAAGAGAAGGGCTTGACGAGCTTGACGGTTGACAAATTCCGAGGACTAAAAAAGGATTGCTAAGCAAGAGAAAGGTTCATTGACTCGACCAGAATCCCAACTACGTCACTTAGAGAAAATGATGGTTTGGCTTAAGGGAACGAAATGAGAAGGGAAAGAACCCAAGGATATGGAAATTAGGCATGTGGGAGGGACTATATGTTGACCCCGAATGGGGGTTGTATATTTTTTGCATTGTGATTGAGTGTGCAGGTAAGTAGTATTGGGATGTCTTGAGCGGGACCTAGTCTGGCTATGTCGGGCGGCAAAGGAAAAAAAAAGACAAAGGTCAAGCGGTCGAGGACGTAGTAAACCCTCTCTATGATTGAGACTTTTGTGCATGCAGCCTTTGAGTATGGATGAAAAAGAGGAAGGGATGCTGTGTATTGGTTGAAGTGTTGCCTCTGTCGGGTGGTCGAAATGGCCGCCAAGTCCTTTGAGAATGAGGGTGGGGACCCCGGAAAGACTAAGGGGTACTTAGGGAAGCAATGAACATAATGCATGATGTATGGGGATAATGAGTGCTAGTGCGCAAACTGACAAAGAGGAAGAACGACGTTTTCGCACGTCGTTGAAGCCTAGGACCATTGCTTTAGGGAATGGATGCGCGGCGTAAGGATGGCGCTTAGTGCTCATAATGGAAGAAAAGTCTCAAGAAACTCCCTAGACTGCCTGCGTATTGGAAGGAGCAATTGCATGAGAACACTAGTCAAGTATCAAGAAAAGGACGTCTGCGAGCAAATAGCCAAACTGCCCCACCACCGAGAAACTGAGTTACACCCCCAATGTCGAAGCTCTCTCGCTCAATGGCTCACCCCCATCCATCTAAAAGCACTAGGTAGGGGTGACCCTGTGATGAATGTCTCCGCGCCCTGAGCATGAGTGTGGGCGGGACCGAGCCAACTGGGACCCACAAAAGGGTCGACTCAGGCTTGAAAGTCTAATAGTGGGAGGCTCTACAACGTATGGCAGCGTGAGGGGCTCGTATGGAGATGTTGGTGACGGCGCTGCACGAGGAGATGTTGGCGACGATGTCACATGAGGGTTCATGATTGGTAGCTTAGTTTTTGCCGCCCTCCTTCGTCTACACTACCTGAAGTGGCAGACAAAGGGTTCTGTTGTGGGCTTGAATCTCCTGTGGTAACTCGTTGACGGGTTCGACGAGGTGTCCCACACCATCTAATATTTTGTAGGGTTATGGATGACCATTGATAACTTTATTGTTGGCGTCGACACTGTGGTTGGCAACTGAGGCTGTCAAAACTGGCAGGTGGAGGGAGGCTTGATGTTTCCCTCCCAAAGGTGGTGGGGTCGGGTTCGAGTGATGGTAGGTGGATGAACGAGAGGCATAGGGAGTTTTTCGAGAAACTCTTCATGGAAAATAGCAAGTTAAGGAGGAAGGAGGACATTGCCGACCTGATTCGAGAGGCCTTTTTTTTCGAGTTTGACATATCGCCATCGGAAGTGAAGGCTATCTCGGGTGATGTAGTTTTGTGTGTCGACACAATCTCAGGGCTTCGAGTTCAATAGTGCTTTCTAATTTGGTTGTTCCATGATAATCAGTCTGACTTTGTACCACTTGTTTGTTTTTTCTATTCTGATTCATAATGTTTTCAAATTTCGTCTTTCCATGAAAACCAGTTTGACCTTGTGCTATCTGCTTCTCTTTTGCTCTGATTTCTAAGTTCACATGTTGTAATCCTTGATGTTCATCAAAATGATAACGATCAAATCCATTTTTTTGGAATTTTGAGTGGATCTGAATTTTTTCTGAAATAACTTATGGGAAAATTTTCTTAAATTGGAGATTCGTAAATCAGAGCTCTGCTCTGATCTCAAAGGAAGAATACCGATAACGATGGGCAAATGGTTTTGAAGTTCTTGAAGTTCAGTCTAATTTGCAAGTAACTTTCTGGAATTTTCTTAAAGTATGACGTATTCTCAATTTGATGTTCGTAAATAGGAGTTTGCTCCGACCTATGAAACACCTGCGGACGCGTCCGCGGGGTCGAGCTCGGATGGCGGCCGACCTCGTCTGCGCCGCGGGCATGAATTTACCATATTTTTCCTGAATTAAATTATGGGTAAAAAATATCCTAACCCTTAAGCAGCAGGTGCCGCGGGGGGGAGGTCGATGGTCTGCTGCGCGCCGGATTTGGGGTCGAAGTTTCGGCGCGGGCCGGCGGATGAAGGCGATCGATGGTGGGTGGGCGTGCAGAGTGGCGCGCGTACCGAATTGTTCACAGCGCGCCCACGGGGCCGGGTACACCGCGGGCGTCGATGCAGATGAATATCTCGACGCGCCCGCCGTCGATAGCCTTTCCGTGTCGGTTTGTGTTCGTCGCCCTTTTTTTTATTTTTCATATTTTTCATATATTGTCGTTTTGTTTCGGATTGTTTTTTTTTTTTTCTATTATACTTTTCATTTTTCATTCTGGCGTGTCGTTTTGTTTCCATTTTTTTTTTTGCCTTTTGTTTTCGTTTT